TGAAGTTCAATTTCCTACAAAGCAACTTCACCTTCTTAACCTGGGACAGAAATCCATATATCCATATGCCTTTTGGCAAACATAATTCCAGTTATTAAAACATCGAAATGCAGAATGGCAACAAAGTACGACACATAATTCATTATTAAGTCTAAAAATTGCTATAGAAAACAAATGTTTTGTCAATTGCAGAATATTTAAATATTTGCATATTAAATTATTAATGACATAGCAGGTGTGACTTTCTTGAATTATTTGTCTATGAGGGAGAACGATAAAGGGGATTCTACTGGGGAGATATTACTACTCTTTACATCGTTGAAAGTTGAAGCTTCTATATTTAAAATCTGTGCAGAAGTATCTAAAATATTCTGTCTCGATAATGAATGTAAACAATCTGATCCAAATGCTTTGCCAATGCTACTCAGTTGCTCATGTGTTTTGGAGTTCTCCCTCATGCTGTCTGACCAGTGTCAGGGAGAGCCTCCCTCCCCACATTAGCCCTGTCTGACCAGTGTCAGGGAGAGCCTCCCTCCCCACATTAGCACTGTCTGACCAGTGTCAGGGAGAGCCTCCCTCCCCACATTAGCACTGTCTGACCAGTGTCAGGGAGAGCCTCCCTCCCCACATTAGCACTGTCTGACCAGTGTCAGGGAGAGCCTCCCTCCCCACATTAGCACTGTCTGACCAGTGTCAGGGAGAGCCTCCCTCCCCACATTAGCACTGTCTGACCAGTGTCAGGGAGAGCCTCCCTCCCCACATTAGCACTGTCTGACCAGTGTCAGGGAGAGCCTCCCTCCCCACATTAGCACTGTCTGACCAGTGTCAGGGAGAGCCTCCCTCCCCACATTAGCACTGTCTGACCAGTGTCAGGGAGAGCCTCCCTCCCCACATTAGCACTGTCTGACCTGAGCGTTCAGATTCCAGCCAATAACGGACAGCTCCCTGACCTGCGGGGCTGTGATTGGTCAGTGAGGGCGGAGCCATGATCGGGAGCAAGGGCTACGATTGGTCCAAAGGGAGCAGTGCAGTGATTGGTGTGTGAGGGGGAGCTGGGATTGCTCCACAGGGAGTACAAGCTGGATCTGCTGGGAACGGTGCTCCAGTTAATGTCTGGTGCTTCGTTTGCTTTTCCCTTTTCCCGCTATCGACCTGTGGATCCCAGTTTAGGAACGAATGCTGTAGACTGATTTGAAGTCAAGAGTAGCACTGCAATGATTCCCAGCGACTCATTTAGCGTTAGTTTTACTTTTTAGTTCACTGTGGCTCTTGATATTTTCATTTGGGACATGAATGTTGTAGTGAATCGGAGATTGCCCTTGCACCTTGCCTAGCCATATGAAACCAAAATAAAACAATCTGTGACTTTTCTGGGTGTATTTCACTTTCCCTGACTGTCTTGTTTCAAATTAAGCTTAGAGCGTGAGACAAAAACTTCATTGCGTTTTTATTGGTTCAACCATAGTTCTGATTTGTTTTGCTTGAAGCCCGCACAGCCAGTAACCGAAGTGCAGGAAATCAAATACAATTTCTACCAATTTTATTTCCAACAACGTAAGGTCTAAGAAAACTGAAAAAATTCTGAAAATGCACTTTTTCACTATTATCCTGGTAATTTGAAGACTGCACCTGTCATAAAATATGACTTCCATTTTGTTCTTGTGGAGTGGCAAAAAGAAAAAATTAAATTTTTGATATTTTCTAACTTGGTACAAGCTGCTCAATCTCCAGGTTTTCCATTGAGTGTCTTTCAGTGGTGGTAGGCTTGTCTCTGCCCAGGGAGGTTTCAATCTCTTTCTACTTTGTTAGTTTGTTAGTAAAGTTATCTTCATATGAGTCATTTGGTAAAATTCTACTTCCTGTCCTCTAATATGGGGAAAATCCTTATCACGAACCAGCAGTTTTTGTGAGCCTTATTTTGAATCTTAACCTTTGTTCTTTGCATTGGAATACTTTTAGAACTAACAAAATGGAAAAAGGATATCTGTTTGTTCACTTTTTCAAGAAAATGAGGTTTAAAGGGAATTGAAATTTAGCGAAAAACAGATTTATAAATAGTGTCAACATCATTTAATGTTAAATGATTGACTAAAACGGTTTGTTTTATAATATGTGAGGGCTTTATGATGAGTGGACCCAATTATATTAAAAACAGAACTTTCTGGCTCGGGTTCGGGGTTCAACAGAAGAAGCTACTTGGAATAATTACATCATTTGAAGAAGGTTCTTAACGTCAAGTTCTATAATGGAAGAAATTATCTATATTTGTTTACTAAAACAAATTTGCATAATTATTTTGGTGTTAGCCTTTCCAGTTTTTGATTTTAATCTGTAAATTAAACCTGTGCAAAAAGTAAAAACTGATTTTAGATGTGCAGCCTGCACGCATGCACAATAAGCAGGAAGTGATGTCCATGATAACTTTATGACCCAGAATTCAGCTAATTTACTAATTTAATTTACTAATAAAAGTTTGCTTAAAAAATGTAAATAAATTATAAAGATTAAATACATGTCTATTATCTGTCTAAACTTAAAAAAATCAGGCTCTTTGCTATTAATTCTAGGTTAAGTCTTTTTTCATATGAAAGGGAAGAGAAAATACATTTACCAAAAATAATTTGTGACTCCCGGTGAGTCCTGGTTTAGCAGCCACCAAGAAAAATAATTTAACATTTGGTCTATTGTGAGGGAAGATCACTGACAATTCTGCTGCTTCCGCACCTCCATTGCTCAATGTGGAGGGACATGTGCCCAAGCTGCGGACTGAAAGTTGATGGCAATACTATCACCCATTTCATGCTGAGATGTGTTGCCCACCAGGAAGTTCCTTGTACCTACCATCCACAAGTGACGGCTCAAACCTATACTTGTCGGATGGCGAACGATCAACTAGTGACTATCCTCCAGGTGGTGGGGGGGGTAGGGGGAGTTAAGTGGCAGCTCTTTGGAGCTGAACTGGCTCCAATGACTTGCCTGGAAATGGAATGTCGGAATCAAGCCCACCCTCTGTGGTGGTCTCAGTTGTCCGGTTCCTGAGCCAGACGAGTCTGCAGTTTTCCAGGGCACTGCTGATGACAACACTGGCTCATCGGCAGGAACGGGAAAGGCAGACGAGTCACTGGGGGCAGGGAGTCATCCCATTCAGTTCCTGTTAAACCCTGCAAGCCAAAGCCCTAACGGGTAGGGTAGTCTTAACTGGACAAGCAGCAGGAAAGTATCAATATCAATGGCAAGCAATGCGGTTTTAGCTGGTTAGACTCCAGCAGTACCCCAACGTACACTCTGGGGTTCCCAAGCCTTGGCACTTACCAATCTGCGCCTAATAGTTTCTGGAGTTAGGTAAGCAGGCTGTGTCCCTCCAGGGAGAGAGTGCGCATTCCGTTCCAACAGTCTATCTATCTCTGGGATTTCCATGTGTAGGTGGGATGCATGGAAATCTCAGCTTGGTTTGGATATTCTTAAGCATGGTGATGGGTTTCCGCATGTGTCAGACATCCAGCTCACCCAAAAAAAATCCAGAGATTAAGTAAACCAATTCCTGTGGGTTAATGGGCTTCAATTCCAAAATGGACTATTTGCAGAAGCATTTATCAATAGTACAACAGAAAATATATGAATTTGTTGTGCCTGATGCTGGGTCTCTAGCCTCTGAAGAATTCTTCCTTGGATTCCCACTTTATTTCAATCTACCCCCCACCAGGCTTCCAAAGGAATATGTAACCTAGATTGTCCTGATTGCTTCTTGGGCTAGTTCTCGGACTGATCCCTGATGAAAAATCCTTAAATTCTGTTCTCAAGATCATAAGATTGGGGTTTGGATGAAGAAGGCTCTTCGACACATTTAATTTCATCCCTCCAGAATACCCACCCTACTCTTCTCCCATCACAGCATCAAACTACTTTTTAAATGAATCCAGTCTCAGCCCTCCCGAGTAAATAACAATGTTTTGGTATCTATCCTGAAATTGCCTTTTGCAAATCTAAATCTACATTCTACTGTCTTGATGCATTGTAAAAGTATTGTTCTGGGTTACTCAAAGCTGACAGTTGCCATGAATTGTACAGGGCTCAGATCATGTTTTAATTTGCTACCAGAGAGAGTATTAGAGTTATCTAGGATACAGGAAATAACTTATTTGTGCTGTTGTGTGCTAACACATTTGAAACAAATTGTATGTGGATGTACGGATCCCACTCAGTTATTATGTAGTTGGGATTATGAAACACAATCGACTCTGTCCTGTTCGGACAGGGCATTGCGTCGACATGTCAGAAAGAATTGATGTGTGACTGGTTTCCATTGTTGCTTCCAGATAACAATATGACATTTAGCAGAATTATTCTTTGGCTTTTGCTGTAATTCCTTGTCAGATCCTCTCTGTTTAACTTGAGGATTTTGGAGAGATTGTCTTGTGTGCGAAAGAGAATGAGTTGGGAAATATTTCTCCATTGCTTATCACAATTTTAATTTTTCAAAAACAAAATGCTATGACAATCAAATTCTTCTTAACCCTAATTTGGATAAGCAAAATGACCTTTATTCCTGAATTATTTAGTTAAAATAAAAGCACAAAAGTATAGTACAATAATGACTCTAAAAGGACTTCATAATCATCAGCTGGTTACACAGTTTAATATTTGAATCGTCAAAGAAGTATAGATTAATACTAAATTTAACAAAATATCCTTGTTCACAAACCCTTACAATTTAGCCTTGACAGGAAGAAAGAAAGCTGGCACAAGACAGCAATGGGATAGTTTGGTGTGTTGGAAGGGAAAGTTGTTTGATGTAATGAGCTCTTAAAGGGCAGGCTCCCCAAAACATTACTGGCCGCTTTTCTAAAAAAGGTGTAATTATGTTCATAAAATTGCTTAAATTGCAATTGAACCAGTTCCATAAAGCCTCATTTTATCATGTTGTTCATATCAGCAATGTTGTCCATTTTTCTCTTCTTTATTGTACAAAGTCTTTTTTTGTCCTTTTTTTATTTCCACAGAACTATTGCACAGCCAAAACATTGTACATATCTGACTCCGACAAGAGAAAGCACTTCATGTTATCAGTAAAAATGTTTTATGGTAATAGCGACGACATTGGTGTCTTTTACAGCAAACGGATCAAAGTAATCTCCAAACCTTCTAAAAAGAAACAGTCCTTGAAAAATGCTGACTGTAAGTATATACATATTTTGCTGCCCAATCTGAAATATTCCATCAAATAAAAAAGTTTCACTTTCAAGCTTTAGAAGTATACCTTATTGTGTACATAACTTTTCACACTGAAGTTTGTAGCAGCTTGAATTTAATTTATATTCTGTCGGCTATTTTCTGGAAAAAAATTTTTTTTGTCACTTCCAAGGGTTACAAAATTACAATGGTGAATAATTAACATTTTTGTTTGGCTGTAGATAATTAACTTTGCAGACCAAGAAGTTATATACGGAGTAAATAGATATAATTGTTTTACTGTCATAGTTTGAAATTTCACCTTTAAGGTTGTTAGGTTCGTGTAAATTCACCATGTTGGGCAATCACGAACACCATGCTTGTGGTTCACAATGGAACAATACGAAGGTTACTTTGGCAAACCTCAGTTACTTTGTCAATAAAATTAATTCTGGTGCATTAAGTGCAATATAACAGACGAACAGGGCATGCTTTCAGTTCTACTTTTGAGCATCTCACAGTGGCTGCTTATAGAGTTCCATAGGTAGAAACCCAGGAATGTTAATTGTTTCCTTGGATTTTGTGTTTAAATGTACTAGGAAAGTGTGCTAAAAAAATGGGAGACAAAGATATAGAGCCTGTTATAAGAGTGCTTAAAAAATGTAGAAATAATAAAGGAGATTAAGCAATCAAGTGCAAATGAAAAGGAAAGGCAGCAAATGTAAAGAAAATAAAGAGGAAGAGATTGAATGAACTGTTACACAAAATATTTTCTGAGTCGCATGGTAATTTTGGCATTTGGACTAGAAAGAGAGCAGTATGCTTCTGTTCTCTTCACGCCAACTTCCTCAATAGCTTATCCACACACCAAAGTACTGTATAATTGTAGAACCGGTTTCTGCTTCTTCAAAAAAGTAATTTGGTTGTAAAATAGATTTGTCATTTGTTTTTAATTTAGCTTGATTTGTTTATTAATAATATTTACTAATGATTTTTTTTTGTTTTAGTGTGTATTGCATCAGGAACAAAGGTGGCATTATTTAACCGACTTCGTTCACAGACTGTCAGCACACGGTATTTACATGTAGAAGGAGGGAACTTCCATGCCAGTTCACAACAGTGGGGAGCGTTTTACATCCATCTATGTTAGTATCTGCAAGGAACATTTTTGTATGCACCGCAAAGATCTCTTCACCGGCCATTTCTGGTTTATACTTTGTGTTTATATGAAGTGTAGTTTTTTGGGAAAAAACAATTCATATAAACACATTTTTAAAGATATTTCCTTGAAAATATCTGAAGTCTTTGGTATAAAACTGGTTGATTTTAAACAAATGCTAAAAGAAGTGCTCTGATTAAACTAGCTAAATTTGTTTCATACTTTAAAATTTTCATTTATTATTGCATAATATAGGATGATCACAGGTATCTATGCTCATTTTTGGAATTTGGAATTTTTGGAATTCACTGAGATCCACAAATGAGGAGAAATAAAACCTCTACCATCCAAGTGTTCTTCAAAACCTATATATGTGCAGGTTTATCTCTTGTAATGGTGTTAATCGTTTGCAATATTACTACTGGAGCAGTGCCAAACGAGCTTAATCCACATTTATACTGAACAAATAAATTAATAGGTTTTTAAATAAAACATATTTGTGGTTATGAATTTAAGATCATGTGCAGCTGTGCCTCAATGTTCTGTAATCAATACAAAACCTTTGTTTCATTAACGGAGGCCAAGCTTTTCCAAACAGAACCTCCTGACTGTGGATCATTCTTTTAGTTACAGTTTTTGATTTGATATTCTGCCTCTTGTGTGGAAAAATTCAACTAAACAGTTTGCTATTATTTGCTGGGATAGGGTTTTGGGATCTTTCAGCAGGCTGCAAGAATGTGCAACTGAATAAAGTATTTGTAGCTGAGTAGAATTTTTCCCAGGTCTGAGCAAGGATCAGTATTGCAACGTGTGTTGCAATTGTTTTTTTTGATACTCATTATTGTGCCTGTGGATATAGGAAAAAAAACAATCTTGTTTTGGTTAGTCATTTTGACAATGAAACAAATATCAGAGAGCTAGATGATCATTTGTAAAGTAGAATCTGTCCTGAATGCTGAAGATTGATGCTTGTAGAATGAGAAGTTCCTCTAGCATTGGAGTACAAAATTATAATTCATCTCGTACTCACCATTTATGAAGCAGAATCAATCTCATTTAAAACCTGCTGAAAGGGTTAACCATAAGGTCATTCTCAATCTGGTTCTGATCATTTTGAGATTGGTTAAATTTCATTTTGAGCAAGACGTGTTAAATGAAGCATTTACATAGAGGAAGATAGCCAAAAACGGCTATTCGTCCTAAGTAGTCTGTGCCAGTGTTTATACTACACACAAGCCCTTACCCCTCCTATTCCGCTAACCTACAGCCCTCTATTTCCTTCTCCCTCATATATGCATCTCTTAAATACATTGATGCTTATTTTTCAAAGCAAATATGTTCGGATAAAACTACAGGATTGGTCTTTAAAAAAGATGGGATGGGCCAGATACCTATATTTTGTGCTGTAAATATCTAAGATTTAGGTATGGTTAAGATTCATTTGTACCAGTTTTGGTCTGTTCACACATCATGTAAACTGTCACTAGCATAAGATTGGCCTAATTTGAAATGTAGATGGGAATTCAGTTTTTCACATCCATTCAAAGTCTTAATGTTCAGCTACTCTGTAAAGAATCTACAGCATTACATTATATACACACTTTTTACTTTTAGCCAAATACCGAGCGAAAAGTTTGCAAAATTCAGAATCTTTTCTTGAATTTAATCTTAAATTGCTTTTGGTTTTATGAATGTTGTAAACTTCTATTAATTGTCATCTATCCCATTTGGTAGTATCTTCATTTTCAGTAGTTTAGAAATGGAAAGTCATAGTATTTACTCGGACTACAACTATTTTACATGAGAATGTATTGTTTTCCAATAGTGAATAGTGCACTTTTGAAAATAATTTGGGGTACTTTAATGTGATTGAAAATAATATTCAGTGACTGGGGCCTATCTCAGTTAAGAGCATTTTGACATTTTGGTCCAACAGATCAAGGTTTTGGCCAAAATGTTCAACATAAAAGGAAGGAAACTATTTCATACTATCATGGAATATAGGGGTAGTGCAAAGGGGAATGATAGGGGTGGAGGCTCCTGTGGAGTATAAACACTGGTGAGGGAGGGCCAGTTGAGCAGAATTGCCTATTTCCATGCATACCATTCTATGTAATCCTTTATTTTATATCCCTTTCAAAAGAAAATTGCAAGGAAAGCCTTTTTGAGAGTGCAAAACTTATCTATACTTTAATAATCATTGCAATTTATTAATTAGATAATTAGGAATGTGGGCTGGATTCTCTGAATGTGCAACTAAACACTAAATTAAGCGCTCTGAGCAGCTACCCCACATGGAGGGGACTATATAAATGCAGGTAGTTGTAGAAATTCACACGTGACTGTAACTCTTGTTTACTTACAGTGGATGATGAAGAATCAGAAGGAGAAGAATTCACTGTGCGGGATGGATACATTCATTATGGCCAGACAGTGAAACTAGTGTGTTCTGTTACTGGGATGGCACTCCCTAGACTGGTATAGTGACATTTGAGTTCTTTTAGTCCATAGTTGAAACCAAAATATAGTGTGTGAGTGTTTCCCTCCTCCCCTCCTGAAGCCAGATAGTAAGCTGCAATGAATATGAACAAACTACTGTCCCCTGTCCTATTTGCTGTTCCTGGGTGGACCTGAACATTGACTGTCAGCCTATTTGACAATAGATAGTGGTGGGTGTTAAAGGCATAATTGTTGAATCCAATCTTGCAATCATCCATTGTGTACTTCCATTGGGAGCAGCTGACTATGAGGGAATTTTAGGAATTCTACCTTTTAATCTGAGAGCTAAAGAATAGTTTAATACCTCAGAGTTCAGATTAGCTAATTCAGCACAGATCAGCTATCTGGGATTTTCCAGGTCAGTACTATATCATTGGAAGCATATCACTGACTACTGATTTATCTAATCAATAAAATGTAGGATTTGGGGAAATTTAGAAACAACAGTATCAAACTAATGCTGGTTAAATATTGCAATTTGTGTAAAGCGAAATTAATTTAAAAAACAGAAATGTACCCATGTCAACAGTTGAAATGCTGAGGTTAGCACAGTGCTTAAGTTTAAGAAAAAACCTATTCATTAATTTTATTTCTTCTTGCATGATGAATAATGATCCAAGTCAGCACATCAATATATGTTCTATACAATATTCTATAATGTTATCCATCATGTGACACTCACCTTCATGCACTATGTGGATCAGAAATTGTTAGGAAGGTTTTAATTCAATTTGAATGTAGGTTTGGCACAGCAATTGTGTTATATTGAGAGTTTTCTTGTTTATATTGCTGGCACTTCCACTGCAATACTTTTATTGCTTATTTGAAATTATACTTCAATGTGCATAATACATAGTAGACATTTGTAATCATTTTTCTTATCAGGAGAGGAAGTAGAACTCATGCAATTGTAAAGGGTTTTTGCTCTTTAACTGTTAAAGCCTTGGTTTAAACCTATCGTAGACTGGCAAATCTCTTCTGACTGTAAGGTCTTAAGTGCAATGCGTTTGGATAGTCATATCTCATAATAATACAGCACTAATCGGCACTAATTCAGCAACCTTATTCAGAGAGGCCACAAGAATGAGTGATGTGAAAGATGGAAACCTTTACTCTTTTGTTGCTCTTCTGATGTTGGAGTTGCGCCACATTGTTGAAGTTGTGTAGCAGGAAATTTGCTCTGTATCCAACTCATTCATTCTGACCTGTTTGATGCACAATATCTTGATATGGATGCCAAAAAGTGGAAGTGTTCCATTCCCTAGCACAGACGTTCCTGAGGTTAATAAGCACAAAAGTTCATCCAAAAATATTTACTTCTGATTGTGTTTTTAAAATATAAATCTGCCATCAATATAGGTCAGGTGATTAGGGAGGGAAAGGAAGCACCAAGCAGGAAGACCAAGTTGGGTGGAGTAGAGGACATCCTATGATTCTAAATTGACACTGATATGAGGCATATGTCAGAGGTGGACCTGGTTTATGCCAATTCTTTGAAACTCTTGATTTGAACGTTTAAGACCAGAATGTAGAGGATTTATAGGATCCAGTATTTGGATTTATTCTTTTACAATGCACAATCATTATACGTTTCAAAAGGTTTACTAAAAGACACTTTATAAAACAACAAGGACAGGACATCGATGTTACTTGGAGTGCTCTGGAGGATATCCGCAAAATAGGAAACTCTCAAGATATATTGATTGAGAGAGCGAGAGATGAAGTAAATTAGTTCTACTAATAGACTACACATCTATAACACCATGGCTGAAGATCTTGAGTTAAATACAGGTGGATCAACTGTATTGTTTGGGGATCAGGTTTCGGAGCTACAATTTTTCAGTGAAATTTGACAAATCAGTTTCATTATAAAAATCAGGATTGTACTCGACAAACATAACTGTTTATTGCAAAGGCCATAAAATACTTTTTCCAGATCTCATTGTTAAGAACAAGAAATCCATGAAAAACTCCTGATCTGCAGATATGCTTGTTGCCACAATAATAGGCTTCCCTGTAGTATTGCTTAGCATTAGATTGCTTGAGGTTTGCAGTTTAATTGACATAGATCACCACTAATGTGTTTAAAATTCATTGATTTAAAATTCATCCCTGAGGAAGATAACATTTAATAACACATTTTATCATTGCTGTGAGACTTTTCTGATCTGCTCCTGGTTTAAGCAAGACAACAAAACTAATTTTTTTTTAGATTATGCTATGTATACATATATGTACATATAGTCTGTGTGAGCCTTATGTTTTATTAAAATCCAGATGTATTTCTAACTTTGCTAATCCCTCTTCTTCCCCCCCTCCCTCACTCCACAAATATAGACCTTTCAACGTAAAATCTTGCAAATCCAATACAATGAGCTTAAAATGCAATGATGTCTTGCAGATAATTCGTAAAGTGGATAAACAGACAGCATTATTGGATGCAGATGATCCAGTTTCTCAGCTCCATAAGTGTGCATTTTACCTGAAGGATACAGAAAGAATGTACCTGTGTCTCTCGCAAGAAAGGATAATCCAGTTTCAAGTAAGTTAATGTTATACACAACTTAACTGTATGTTATGTGGAATAACAATGGATTGCAGCTCAAGACAAATGGAGGGGAATGGATGTCTTCCAAATTTGACTATGGATTTTGAGATCACAGGAAAACATGAGGAAAATGTACTGGGCACCTTTAGACAAAGTGCATATTTTCTGCAGTTATTCATACTTCCAACAACTACTTTGTAAAACTACATTTATTTCTGCATCTGATGCTTTGCATATGAGTTGGCAATTCATAAGGCAACTATGTCTGGGAGAGTACAGGCAACAGAAATGGAGTGAATATTTTTGATCTTGAATTTCTTGTGAACATTTTTGAAATACCAAATTTGACATTTAGCTGCAACGAGTCTTATATTCCTAACATGAATAGAGAGGGCTTTTTTTTTAACTATTAGCAATTATGTTGCTTCAGTCATAATATTGTGGAGAATTAACATTCTGTTCACTCCCTTGATTTTCACCCCCAGCTCAGGTGCCCATCAGCTTTGTCAAGCACCTTGAGATGTCCTCCTGACTATATAAATGTAAATGTATTACATCTCGAAGTTGTAGATAATTTTTTGGGCATTGAACATAGGAACAGGAAAAGGCCATGCAGCCCCTCAAACTTGTTCCACCATTCTGTTGGATTATGGCTGATCTGTACCTTGACTCCATTAACCTGCCTTTTCTCTGTATCCTTTGATATCCTTACTTAACAAATATTTCCCAACCTCAGATTTGAATATTCCAGCTAATGCAGCATCCACAGCCTTTTGGGGTAGAGAATTCCAGATTTCTGGAACCGCTTGCATAAAAAAAAACCTTCTGGTTTCACTCCTAACTGGCCTTAGCCCTGCAAATGGGAACGCTTTCTAGTAAGTAAAATATGTCACACAGACCTAGATGCAATCAACTTATATTTTGAGAGCAGAATTCCTGTAGATTGGTGGGAATTCTTACGGGATTCCTATTAAGGAATTCTATTAGAATTTTTGTATGTTAGATCAATCTATCAATCATATTACTTTTCACACCTCCACTATCTTTCTAGCCGCCTTCAACTCGTGTTTATCCCAGTGTAATTTAGGTATGATTATCAAATTGAAGAGCTTAATTTAATTGAAGAGATTTTCCCATTATAGAACAGGTGATTGCGAAGCAGCATCATCAATTTGGCTTAGTTTTCTCTGAGTTGAAGGTGAACCATCTGGTATCCCATTGTGTCTACTTCTGCTTATTGTTGAAATACACCAAAATATCTTCATTTCATTATTATTGTCCTGCAACTACATTTCAACCTAATGCTCCTTTTCACGTTCAATTCCAATTTGTTTATCAGACCATGGTTATTAGGTTTCCAGCTTTAGTGCAGTCAAAGGTTTTCTAGCTGTTAAACTTAAATATTCAAGGAATAATCCCTAACCACCCCTCTACAAAAATGTTTTGACAAAGTAACTTAACAAATGGGAATATATGTGGGTGGCAAGAATTAAAATTGCATTAGATTTCTTTGCAGTGTTTCTTCCTGTGCATTCCATTCCAACACATGGGAATTTTCATGTGTAGGTGAGATGCATGAAACTCTTTGATTTGGATACTCTTAAGCATGGTGATAGGTTTCTCCATGTGTCAGCCACGCAGCTGACCAAAACAAAAACAGATCAACTCCCACTATTTCTCGACACTCCCTTACAGATTAGGACTTCTGTTGTTAAATATAAGCAAATATATTCCAAATAGGTGTCCTTTTGGTTCAGTTGGTATCACTCTTGCCTCAGGATCAGCAGGTTGTGGTTCAAGCCTCATGTTGGCACTTGAGCCCACAGTGCCAGCAAACACGCCAGTGCAGCACTAGGGCATTGTTGAAGGTGCCATCTTTTGGTTAAGGATGTTAATTTGAGGTCCTGTCTGCCTTTTCTTCGGATGGGTATTAAAGATCCCATCAGACTATTTAAAAAATATAAGGGAGATTCTTCTGGTTTCCTTGACCCAACAGTTCTCCAGACTAATTGATCATTCATGGCTATTTGTGGCACTTTGCTGACCCTCAATTTTTTGTGCATTTGCCAACAAAAAACAGGCCTCATATTTTGCCATAATTACGTTTTAAGTATATTTCTGCATCTCTGGATAAAAAAAATCATTTTTTTCTTCCTAAATGAAAACTTATTGCATCATAAATTTCTCTTGGTGTGGGCTCGGTGACATTTTTTAAAATTTTGATTTAATTAAAATGTATGTGCTTTTAAACCTGAAAGTCTTTCACTACACAAAAGCAATCTAATAGCTCTTGAATCTAGTTTGTCTTCCATAGTCATAGTTGTTTCATGTTCCATCGCATTGTTTCCCCCTCACAGGCCACTCCATGTCCAAAAGAACCAAACAAAGAAATGATAAACGATGGAGCCTCTTGGACAATCATAAGCACAGATAAGGCTGAGTACACATTCTACGAAGGGATGGGGCCTGTACATGCACCAGTGACACCTGTACCAGTTGTAGAAAGTCTTCAGGTAATAGGACGTAGAAATTAATGGGATTTCATGTTGTTGACATTGTGGTGCTTAATTCCAAACATATTGACATTTCTAAACTGCTTTTCTCCTGTTTTACTCAAATCTCTACAGCATTTCCAAACTGTTAATGGCTCATCAGTTCGGTTAAAATGTAATCATATTTTTTTAATGTCTGTCTTATTGACTGCCTCGTTGAATATATAATACCTTCTTCCTTGTGTCTATTTTATTTGCCTGATCCTAACTACATCTGTCCTGAAAAGAGATGTTTCACTTCTGATAAAAGAGTCCGACCCAAATTAATCTGTCTTTCAGATGTTTTTTTCCACCTGTATAGATGTAAGATTTTTAGCTAAAAATGTACAATTGAAAGATATGTGATGAGTCTTACATAGAGATTACAAGATGTATTTCAGGGTTGTAATGCAAATGAGGCCTTTACATCATAAAGATCTTTGTAGGCCAGCCTGGCGGAGTGGTAATATTTCCACTAGAATCAGAAAGTTGTGGGTTCAAGCCTAAATGGGTTCATAGTCTAAACTGACACTCCAGTGCGGTGCTAGGTGTGTGTTGCATTCTCGGAGTGGCCATCCGTCTGCCTGTTCAGGTGAATGTTAAAGATCCCATGGCACTATTCGAAAAGAGAAGGAGTTTATGCCAGTGTCCTGGTTAACAAATCCCCCAAATAAAATTGATCGCTCACTCCATGGCTGTTTGTGGGACATTGCTGTGTGCAACTGTCTGCCGTGCTTCGCCCACAAAATACACAGTCAATCCACTTTAGATTGTAAAGTGATGATGACATGACAAGGCGCTATATCGAATGCAAGGATATAGATTTGTATATTAAATTTGTATATTTGTATATTAAACACACAATTCCCAGAAACTGTTTTTCATGTATTTAAACGAATGTAACTTGCACCTCATGATGCCCCTATTCTCTTTGTATGTAAATGCTAGCAACTTGCATGTGCAACTGTACAAGAGTCAATGACTTGTTGACAAAATTACATTTGAAAATTATAAATTTATTGTGTAATCTCTGCAAGTTCGAAATATTAATGCAATATCTTTGTTGTAACAGCTATGTCTACCCTGTTGTTGCATATGTCTTTGATTCATGTTGTATATAATTGGATAGTCACACATGTCTCTCTAGTGTAACATTTTGCGACTGGTGTGGTTCCCCCTGTTCATGAGGCACACATGGCTCAGTACAAATCTGGGCTCGAGAAAACCGGTTAAAGCTACAGGTGGATAGGAAATGCATTTGTAAAAGCATCTGTATTATCTGTGAAAGCATCTGGATTATCTGTAGTATTTGTTGAAAAGAAACAAATCTGTTGTAACTCAGCAGCATTCACTATATTAGTTATGATTTTGGTAGCATAGAGACATTTACTGTTGCAAATCAGTGTACATTTTAATGGCTTGCATTTGCAAATGGGTCAATTTATAGAATAATTTTACAGTATCACTGGAATAACTGGGTTGATATATTTTGTACTACTAAACATGCTCCGCTTGTATAAAATTCCATGGTGTCCTGGCAAGCCTGTAAGGATTTGTTTGAAAAATATGCTTATTTATATTTGTTTCTGAGTAGTGTTCATTACTTCCCTAGCTGAACGGAGGTGGGGATGTGGCAATGCTGGAGCTCACAGGACAGAATTTTACTCCAAATCTACGAGTTTGGTTTGGTGACGTAGAAGCCGAGACCATGTACAGGTATGTGTATTTAAATTAAGAAATAACATAGTGGTCTTCTTTAGAATTCTAGACTGTTTGATTCAAATTCACTTGTGATAATGAACAAAAATATTTTTTTATTTTCTCTCTTCTGAAATTGGTGACTCTCACTGAAGTTATTTATTATTATAGTTATTTTGTGGAGTCCTGTAGCTCAGTGGGTAGAGCACTAGCCTTGCAAGAGAGAGACCTGGGTTCGATTCCCGGCAGGGTGATACTTTGTGCAAGCTTCTTTACCCCACAAGCCTGATAATAGTCCCTCAAGAAAAAAACAAGCAATAACAGTTTGGTCACTCAATCCACGACTGTTTGTGGGGCACTGCTGTGCGCAATTGGCTGCCGCGTTTCACCCACAAATATACAGTCAATTCACTTTACAGTATATTCTGTGAATATACACAGCAGTATTTTGATAGGCAATTTATTTCAAAGAGATCAGTTGCATTGTTGAAGGAAGGTAATGCGCATCCTTGTTTGAGTTTTGGGGTGTTTATTTTATGTGAGTTTGATTTGAAAGGCAGCCTTCACTTCATTTGTATACAACCCTGCTGGCTGATGTCATAAGCCTCAGTAAAAAAGTTTACATTGTATGCAGGCATTTACTAAATCCATATTTAACTTTTTTTTAAAAAAGGTGTGCAGAGAGCATGCTCTGTGTTGTTCCAGATATTTCTGCATTCCGAGAGGGTTGGAGATGGGTCCGTCAGCCAGTCCAGGTTCCAGTCACTCTGGTTCGAAATGATGGGATTATCTACTCTACCAGCCTTACTTTCACATACACACCAGAGCCTGGGCCACGACCACATTGCAGTGCTGCTGGAGCCATTCTTAGAGCTAATTCCAGCTTGATGGCATCCAGTGAATCGAACACAAACAGTGAGGGAGGTTACACAACTGTCAGCACAAACTCAGCCATTGTCACATCATCAGCAGCGACTGTAGTCTCCTAACTACTGAAGTGGTTTAAAGACAGTCACCAACTTTGGGAAAGGAGAAGACACAAAACTTTATAATTGCTACAAAAAAAACATTCTTGTGGTATTCTGGAAGTCACCTCCTTGTTCAGATGATGGAAATGTCATTCAAGCATAATAATCTGCAGGAGGTGTTTACCACAGAAAGACAAAATCCACCGGAATATGTATAAAACTTTATAAAAAGCTAAAATGAAAATCTATTTTTCCGCTGTTTAAAGTGTGGGCAAGATATAATGAATTTGGGTGGGATGGAGGTAAAGCAGACTAGAGAATGCATAAAAAATAACATAGTTTCTATGGACCAAGAAACTTGTATAAGCTTTAGTGAAGGTACAGTTTCACCATACCTTTTTTGTATTATACATATAGTACACTTTTGTTACCAAATAGTTTATATTTTCTTCCTATGAGCAATGGGCTCTGAAGTATCAAGGTTCCAGGCCTTACCTTGCTGTATATTCTCAACACCCTACTATATGAGTAAAGACCTATATTTTGGTCACTGGCTGGAACTGTCCTAATTTTTTTAAAAAAAACTTGAGTCGTGTGACTTATCTATTGAAGGTGTTTTGAGAGGAGAACCTCATTTTTGTGATTATCTATCAGTTTATGTACCGTACTTCTAGGATGTCACAATATGAAAGCTTCACGACATGGAACGAAAATCACAATTACCAGTATCGTAATATTAGCATGAGAGTTACAGAACAAACCAGAATTTAGTCATGCTTCATAAACATGGTCTGTTACAAACGGAGGCATCTGATATCTAAATGTGTGGTTTATTTAAAGTTCTACAAAAGGCAAACTAGAAAACCATAACGAAGCTTAGGTCAACTCTGACCAATTGGAAGTTCATTTTATTCCACAATTATTTTGGGTAGAATTGATGCATTTTCAAACTTTCATCTGAATATTGGGCAGTCTCTTAAATTCCAGTTTGCCACTATAAAGAGTTAGTGTATTCTCCTGGGTTGTTGCATATTGATAAATGTTATGAAAAATGTCCATGTACTTAATTTTGTGTCTGTTGAGTTACTGTGTTTTTATGTTTTATACTTCTATCTAGAAGCGGCTTGAGAATTGCTCTTGTGGTCCTTCTTGTTGAACATTGTAAACTTCTGTCCAGTAAGAGTCTATAGTAACAGTGGGCAGAACTTTGTTTGAAACTAAGGGGACCTAATTCATTGTCCATTCTCTGGCTCTCTCTAATTAGTAGTTTTAAATCACATAAAACTAATTATTGACAAATATGACACTATTGGTAAACATCTGTATGTGCCTTTATAACATTTAGCATTCTGTAACCATTCAGTCGACTCTGATGACCATTTTATTACATGTTATACTCTTTAATTAACTTGCAGTACATTTATAAGAATTCCGAAAGGTTCACTTTCCTTTTTGATTTCTCAGGATTACCATGTTGCCAGATAATAGCTGCATTTATTACGATATGTTAATCAAAATTGTGATCATCTTTCATATCCTGATATTAATGCGTTGTAATATTGGAACATCCCTATGTACTTCAGAAAAGAAAATATCAAAAGCTTTAAGTGACTTCTGCCCTGTCTGCATTGCATACATCAGAACAGACATGTTAAATATAGCTTTATTTTTTCAATCATTTTCAATAAAAACAGTATTTAGTAGTTACTGATATGACTAAAAACGGAAGGTTTCTGGATGCACTAACATCTGATAAATGAGGTTCAGCTATTAACTGAATTTGGGAGTGTGGCCATAAAGTATTGAGTTTATTGTGTTATTTTTCACACAAAGCACTGCTTTTATATGTGGAAACGTATTCCCAGCATTTTATATTTACAGTACTTCCACCTACATATACTTTGTTTCTTTTTGACATTTTGATTGCTACAGTGATTTATTTTTTGAAAGTGATAAATGGTGTGTATGCCCTTTAAAGTGTAATTTGTTCTTTGGAAATGGTGCCTAACAGACTGAATGCCACATATCATTGGTTACACCTAATAGCTGGCAAAGCTACTGGTATTATTTATTTTGTAAAAAGAATTTGATTTCAGTATTTGTGTACTTCACAGGTCATGATATTTGCCTTTTTTCAAAAATCTAAGGTTGAAACTTCAAAGAAACACAGAAGATCTTTTAATCAATGAACAGGAGCCCTATTTTGAAAGTTGTTCTTCACTTAGATTTGAATTAATGGGGTTTTGAAAAAAATATTTCCATAGACATTACAGTATTAGCATCTTAATGGGAACACCACTCAAACAAGCAAACCATTCCCTCTAAGAATTAAAAGAGTGGGGAACTAAAATAATCCTTGCATTTCACTTCAAGAGGATATCTCAAAAGCTCTTTACAGGATTTACTGTTAAGTGTAGTGACTATATTTGATAAGCAATCATGGTAGCCAATTTGCACACAGCGATGTCTCACAAACAATCATTAAGTAAATAGCCAATTTTATCTGAGAGGTTGTTGGGAAGAGCTCTTTTTGAACAGTGCCATGGCATCTCTAATTCCACCTGAGCATGGTTTAATATCTCAGCTGAAGGTGGAGTTCTTGAGCAGAGGTAGAATGGTGGGGTAGACAGGGCAGGAGATATCTGCTTATAGCAAAATGTTTTTGCAGATTCCCAGGTTTGTATAATGATCAATTTTCTAAATGTAACAATTCGGTGTATTGATTGCAGCCTCCTTAATTAATATTTAGGAACAAAAGAATGCCTCCAAAATCTCAATAAGATGTTGATCAGTACTGGGCCTACTTGCAGCCAAGTTCCATCTCCATAGCTGTCACCTAAGGGAGGCGCTGAACGAACTCTGATGTCTAAAATGTTTGGCTTGAAGGAGTTCTTGTACTGTAGCATTAAACATTTACTCTAATTTTTTTTGTCTTGGAAGAAATTATAACAGTAACTTGGGAAGCGGAATACCCTTCCGTGTTTTGTGGTAGAGACAAGCGAGTCCATTGTGGCTTTCAAGAGGGAAGGGGTATAAGAAAGAGGGGCTTGAGGGATGTTAGGACAGGGTAGTGGGATTAATTGATCTTGCTTAGTGAGCAGGTATGGAGTCTGGACTAAATGTGGTCCTCCTGTGCGGTAGCTTTAGGATAGTAGTAGAGTAAGCAGAGTAGCAAGGATATGGAATGCTTTGCTGGGAGTGGTGATTGAGGCAGAATCCATATTGATCTTCAAGAGGGAACTAGACAAATGAAAAAGAGTCAGTCACGGGATATTGGGAAGGGCAGCTAAATAGGACTGAAAGGTTGCTCTTCAGGTAGCTGGCACAGACACAATAGCCCCGAATGGCCTTCTGTGCCGTAAATTTCTATATGTTTCTGTAACTTTCAAATAAATTTGGGACTGGGTGAGCAATGCATTTTTTTCCTGGTTTCACCTACCTCTGCTTACTGGAGCAGCACATCTGCTGGCTCATCTGCAATTAGGATCTTGTGATGAGGGGAATTGGACTTTGGCTTATGACTGCAAGGTATAAAAGTGAGGGTTTTCCTCAGGCCATTTCTGAGCCTCCAATGGTGCTGCATAGTATTCATTGTGCATCGATTGCACACGTATAAACCATGGAAAACTGGGTGTGGGTTCCTGTGTTTTTTATATAGTTTGTTCCCCGTGGACAATTTTAATTGGATCATTGGGGAATACAAATACATGAGGATGAGATGTAAGAAAGTAGAAAATGCTTGTTGGTTGAAGGTTGATCCTGCAAGTCAGTGAGGTCTCGTACTCTGTGCTACCAGCTTTTTTTATGTGGCAGTGTAAGCCAAAACAACTCAGACATGGAAACCTGATCAACTTTCACAAGGAAATGTTAGTTACTGTTAGGTATACGATAATACTATTGCTTTTGTTCCAAAGCACCTCATTCTGTTACTTAGATAATGGATCAGTCGTAGCCTGAAGTGTGAAGGATCATTGAATCTGCACAAGCAAGTGTTTGCTTGAGACAAGTGTTCCCATTAATCAGGTGCTCATTAACGTGGAGTCCTGTAGCTCAGTGGTTAGAGCACTCGCTTTGCAAGTGAGAGACCTGAGTTCAATTCCAGACAGAGCGAAACCTTGGGCAAGTTTCCTTACTCCACACAGAGCCTAATAATAATCCCTCCAAAAAACAAAGCAATAATAAATTGGTCATTTTCAATCTACGACTGTTTGTGGGATACTGCTGTGCGCAATTGGCTGCCGCGTTCGCCCACAAATATAGTCCATTCACTTTACAGTCTATTCTGTGAAGTGCTTTGAGACGTCAAGAAGTCGTGAAAAGTGCTATATCAAATGCAAGGATTATTATTATTATTATAACTGGCTTGCACTGTGAAATGGAAAATCAGGCTTTGACCCATCATTTCTCTGTCAGACAGGTGCTCTGGTACTTACCCCAAAGATAATTTGCAGATTAAAATACTGCTAAAGATAGTTTTTGTAAGCAGACTAATATTCCAGGCACTCAGTATGTTATGCATTAAATTGTGTAGGGGTCCAGGCATTTCCTACTGGAGAGCATTGTATGTTTGAAAGAGAACATATATTACTGGTACTTGCCTTAAACTGAATTTGCCTTTGTATAGCTGTTGGAACAAATGTGTCCCACACTGGTATCCTTAGTTGTGTTCGTGCAAATATTTATGTGAAAACTCATTGCTGAATGTTTAAAAACACCCAGAACCTGTTTTCCACTTTTGAACTATTGCTGAGATCAAATCACGTGTCACCCGGAATGATCACCTGATGTCAATTTTTAAAACATCAGGTGATTCTAATCAAATTAGGTTTTCAAATATTTTCCAATGTAAATTTAAAGAAGGAAACCTGTTTTGTTCTTGTACGTGTTTGCAACATTGCCCTTATTAGAAAGATACCTCAGTGGCAGGGGTGCATTCTACCTCCAACCATGTCTCAGTTTCAATACAACGGTTGCGTAATCCAATTTACCTCAGATGGATGTATTTATCACAGTTGATAGCTTTATTATCAGCTGGGTGAAACATGCACAGTTCTATCACATTGCTTAAGAGTATCCAAAGCAGATTGGCTTTCCGCAAAAGCTTCCAATTGTTTGTGCAGCTTGGACCACCCTCTCATTAAGCCGAACAGTTGTCTGAGAGATCAGACAACTGAGTGCGTGATAGTAGCTGCATGGGTGCTTCATTTTTTCACAATGTAATCAAAGACAGACTAAGAACAATTGACTTGAGGTATTTGGGGTTAATATTTTTGGCATATTGTAATTTCATATCCCGGAAAGATACAGACAATAATCTGGCAGTTTATACTGTATGTATTATTACTGAGAGCCATTAACAAAACAGAAGACCAAATGCGCGTTACACGGCAGAGCAGAAAACTAGAACATTTCAGTTCTGATGTCTCCTATTAAACTGTTCTGAAAACTAAGAATCCGCTTTTGTTTAAACTGTATTAAGTAATTTAAGCAGGTGCAATTGTTTGATTTTAAACATTTCTTAACTGGTAATTTTGAACCTGAATCACTTGTCCCTGGCCTCAAGATACTGGAGATTGAATAACAGAAAACGTATGATTTGCCGTTTAGTGTATAACAAGTAAAGATGTTCACACAAGACTCGCCATGCAACTTAAAAGTTAAGTCTTGAAGTATCAAATGCTACTTGCAGTTTTCAAATTATGCATGTCTCCTCTCTTAATCTTCTCAGGTTATTGTGTGTGTTTAGCATTTCTGCTTTCTTTACAAGCTGGTCTCCAACCGGAAATCTACTCCCCTAATCCTCTTCCAATCGCCCTTCGTAATTAAGAAATAAGAGTTGCATGTTTACTTTGTCAAACTGTTGCCCTCTTATGTTTTTCCTCTTCATCAGTAAGATTCAACATTTTCTTCCTTTCAAATAATGCCTTGATTTTGTCCCAAATGTCGCCTGAAGCTTATGACTTAGTTGGCATAATGGATGGGTCCATGGCTGGTTGCAGACCTTTTTTTTTGCTTTAACAGATATCTGATGTGCATAGATATCTTATCTACATTCTTAAATCTTCAAACCAAACTATTGAGCTCCGCAAATGTATGGTTTCTGTTTGTCTGGGATGGAGTTCACATTCTGTTTACCTAATCCTAGAGTATAGACTCAAGTTGGAAAGAATCAGGGCTTGGGAACTCTGAAGATAACCATCTAAAACTACACAACTTATAATTGCAAACACTGGCCAACTTTCTACTGCTTGACCAGCTAGGAGTAGCCTACCCATTAGGACTTTGTCTTGCAGGGTTAATGGGTGCTGAATGGGAAGAATCTTCCAAGACTACCAAAAAGCCAGGCTGGAGGGTATGTCATCAACAGTGCCTTGGATTTCTGTGGATCTACCTGGCTCAGGTACTGGACTACCGAAACTGCTGCAAAGGATTGACTATTGTGATCTTCATTGCTAGGTGTGGCACTTTGGAGCCACCTTAGGCCCACTTACCTCCTTTCCCCTCCCATATTTCGCCTGCAAAACATACAGTCAAGTCAATTCACTTTACAGTATATTCTGTGAAGCCCTTTAAGATGTCTAGAAGACGTGATAAGGTGCTATATCAAATGCAAGGATTATTATATAATTATGTTACAGCTAAACCTACACTCACAAACACATGCCAAATTTCTCCCACCCTGAAGATGTTTGGATCAATTTTGCTTCTACCTGGGTAGCTTGACAGGCACAAGTTACCATTCGATACCTTGCTCAAATGACAATTTATATATGTTTAAGCCTTGCAGGTGAGCATTGAGTCTATTTGAATTGGAAAGGGGTGGGGGGTTCAGTTAAATCTGACCCTGTTTTCGCCCTGTGTCTCCAGAAGGTTCTGAATAATCCCTAATCCAAATGTCTGAGTCCAAGTGTAGCATCCTGGCTGATCAGAATGCTTACTGCTTTGGGCGGGAGCTTATCCAGCAATTGTATTCTGAAAGTAGACAGGGTAAAATTCACCAGGAGCAAAATGGATATTCAGTTCTACAAAGTGAGATCGCTTTTTTTGCAGAATGAAGTTATCTTATAAACCTGGTCATAAGTAGATGTGATAGCAATAATGAAAGTTAGTTCTATATAGTGTGCAAAATTTAATTTTGAGTAAGAAATGTAAGATGTACTGGAAAGTTTTTTTTTGTCAACAGACTGTTGCATAGGGGAAGTATTTGAAGCATTTCAGACTTGGGCAATTAAAGTACTCATTTTGAAAACTGAGCTAAAATGGGGAAAATATTTCTGTTTGAAACTAAATGAGTCACAAGTGATAGACATTGCAGCAATGCGATGTTACACAGTCAAAA